TTATCAGGCATCTTGGAGGAGCTGTGTTCTCCAACTCTGACAAACAACGCTTGATCCGTGACCTTGTTATGTATGTGCTGTAATATGTTGAGCAGATTGTCTAGTGCACGACATCCAGGTGCAGACCTCGCTTTTGGTCTTACCCGCGACGCATGCTTGGCAGTGCATTAAATTTTCTAGTCACCACACTCTGAACTACAGTCTCTTCCGCTAGTGACTCGATCTCGACTATTTTCCCCCAAAACCTCAAGACTTCTTCTTTGTGCTGCATGATATAATCTTTTGTGCATACGGGCGCACGGCAAGAGGAGCATGGTGAAAGGACTTTGTTCATGCGAGTCTCCTGTTCCAATTTCTCACAGTCATCTAAAGCCCTCGACAGAATTTCAGTCAACCTTACAGACTCTGTGTTGATCCAACCCATCTCCATAGCTGGATATCGCTGCGATTCTCTCACCGCGCTTCTCTTGCTTCTGATATCTTCTGTTTGCTGTATGATAGGACTTGGTATACTTTCCCAAAAGGCGCCCTTGTGTATTGAGCAGAGCCTATCCTTGGCTTCTTCAAGCTGTAAACAAATCTGTTGAGCTTTGATAAAGCTCTTTCTCTTTGTGCTTTTCCTAAGCTCGAACGATACTATGCTCCAGGTCGCGGACAGCCACTCTCGAATCTTCTGAGCAGTGCTTGATTCTGCGTTTGTTGTCCTCAATTCTATCTTGTTCCTAGGTGGCTCGCTATCTCGATCTTCTTTGAGGGCCTGGATACATTCATCAAGGCATTTGATCCTGGTTTCCAGGGTTCGGTGGTACTTCTTGGGTGTCTTGAGCACAGTTTCCGTCACTATATCGACCAAACGCTCTTTTTTCCTGGAAGCTCTCTCGTCCTGTGGTCTATACCGAGCCGCTCGCTCTGTCAGAACAGGAATCATCGGATGGGGTTGGTGGAGGTCCATCGAACGATGTCGGTGTCACAAGGTATGACGGCTGTCTCTCTCCCTGGACTTGTTGTTTGAACTGGAGATTCAAGTCCAAAGTACAGGCTTGCTGCAGGAAGCCTATATATCGCTAGAAGCTTGTTTGTACAGATACTTTTGAAGATGACGAAATGTTTCAGTCAAGACCAACTTCGCCATGTCGTGAGATTCTTCACAGCCTCTCCCTTGGCTGTCTCTCGAACAGTCACGTCAGTGATGGATAATAGAAATCTCCTTGATGACTGTATATCATCTCAACGACATGCGTGTCGTACGATAACTTTTGCTGATTTCCGATCTCGGTATTATGCAATTGTGCTGCGAGCTTGTCTGAGTGGTATTGCTCAGTGACGTCTGATAGACGTGTCTCTGTGTCAGCTGCTGATTGCGGTAATCGGTTGTATCATCAATTACTCATGGAGTGATATAACACTAACTGCTGCTCGATTGCTTGTTCGAGGGAAGCTTACGAAGTTCTCACGTGGTCGAAAGCATATATTAACCGCTTCTTCCTTCGTCGTAAATCACCTCAGAGGCGATCGACTGTCAACATGAGAGAGTCTCAAACGTCCTTCTTGTGGTTTGCTCTACTGGGATTTGCAAGATCAGTCCTTTCAGAGAAGGCTGATTGTGGAGATGGGCTGGAGTTGAATGCGCTACAAGGCGTTGAGTCCACCTTCAGCATCCCGGTTAGGAAACCTTGTTCAGCTGCCCTGATCACCTTCAGCGATGGTACAGATTTGATGCTAGATCCTCGAACCAATACTTCGTGCCATAATCCGATTTCAGAAGCTCAAACATTTGCTACTGTCATTGGCTCGGACGCCCCAGTGGGTGTCGCAACGCTCACCTTTCAGTGCAGTGAGCAGGTCTATTGTATGTCAATCAATGTAGCGGAAGGGAACGTTTCGGACTCGCAAACGTCCATTCGCAGCGTTTGTGCAAACTTGACGAATACAAGTGGCGAGTCTTCAGGCGCAGCTATTGGCGCAACCCAGGTGTCGAAAGTCAGCGGTGAATCGGCCCATCAGAAAAGCATCCCAACTTCGCAGAGCGACTTGAGCATCACAAGAACCTTGTCAAATGGTTTGAATGGCTTTAGTACCTCACTTGGAGCAGGTGTGCTGGGGAATGGGACCTATACTGCCAGTCTTGACAGCATTGGTCTTAGCCAATTAGCTTCCCAGACTCTCTTTGGTTTGTCCGCCGGGACAACCCTCACCACAAGCTCGACATGGGCCGCATCTCCATCGAGGACTTCAAACGTGCCCATTTCCCAGACAACCATGCTATCACTAAATAGATCTGATACCGTCGTGCCTGCAACAACGACAGGGCCTCCAGATGACGCTGATGTCAGCACGTCCAAGACTGCTACGACACTGAACGATGACAACTCTACTGCAGAGGGTACAGATATCCAGCTGCCATATGGGAACCAATCTCGCGAATCGGATTCTTCGCCAGACCCTACAGCACAGTCCATTACGGCGTATCCTCTCCAGAATGACACTAGAACAACTTCCCCTACCCAAACAGCAAGTCAAGATCCTTCTACATGCGCTTGTTACCCACTTCCCACTTTCTGATAGTCGACAAATCATCGTCTCGCCACCAAAGTCTCATGTTGTGATAAGCAGTCTACAAGCTGTCTTTATGGTCAAATTTATAGCTGAATTTGTTCCTCAGCTTCATTTTGGAAGGGGAGCTTCAATATATACTGTTTGCATTTTTCACTTTAGCTTAGTTCCAACACTTCTTGATTTATTGACATCTATGCCATAGCTTGACGCGTCTGTGTCATAAAAATTAAGTAGACTGGGGAGATGTATGATTGGCTGTACCTTACCCAATGTAATGAAAAGCCATGTGTCCTGCGAGCCGACCACGAATTTCTGGTCAGATTCTTATACCTTACATGTAGTTGCTCAGAAAGAGATAGATGTTACGCAAATCTTGAGATTGCTAAGTTCTTATCACTTCCGGCAACCATTTGATGTTCGAGTATCTCTTAAGTGGTAACAGAATTTCATACATCCGCTCTTGGACTTTTACCTCGCGTCGACTGCTGGAAGAAAGTTTACTGTCAGGATCATCTTCCGCAAAAGGTTGGCACTTCACGGCAGTTTATTGCTAGAATATGGAGATCAGGTTTGCGAGTTTGTTGGGATGTCCGGGCACGAAACGGTACACGCGCAGTCAAAGGCTACAGAGGATGTCAATCGATGCTCCGTACCCTCTCGCGAGGATCCATAGAACCGTCATCAATTCGGCGGAATAAATCATGACATGCATAGCATCTCGAACTTATCCTGCAACATAGTCTATGTCTCGACATCTAAATCTATTGCGTCGACAGCATTATCCACAACCCGCTGCCAGTTGCCGGCATGATCGACAATGATAGAGCGGGTGTTCAACTGCCCCGTTGCTTCAAGGTGCTCTCGAACTTTGACGAGAAATTCATCTTTGACTAGCTTCCCAGGCGTACAATCCGAGAAACAGATCGGGCAGCGCCAGTCATTTCGCGTCAGACGACCTGTTAGGCACGTCTCTGATCGAGTTTCGAGAAAAACGTCCAGATCGAAAGCATCGTAGTGCGAGCAATCTTCGCCGCGGACAGGTATGTCAAAGATCCTCGACTTCGAAAATGGCTCGAAAAGATCAATCCTTATCACCAAAGGTGTGTCAATGACATCGATAGCCGCGTCACAACTTGAAGCCATGCGCGAGATGATAGAGTCTAGGACTTTTTCGCTCGAGATCGTCTTGCATCCTCCCACGATTTCCAACCTACTCCAAACGATCCAACGTTCGATGGTGACGGCGAAGTGCGAGTTGATGCCCCAAGCAGCGCTGGTCGCTCCAACCCTGACTTCAAGTTTGTTGTGTTTCTTAAGCTGTGATGTGACATCCACAATAAGCGATCTGGCTTCGGATTCGTGTAAATCTTGATTGATCCACAAACCGAGACCGTCAGGCAGATCTCTGCTTGATAAAGCTTCCCGAGATCCGTGGAGAAGCTTCAGTATGGATCTCGATCTTGGAGTGTCTGGTGCGACGTCTAGCTGCTCCATATGCGAAGTCTGGCGTGGAGAGCCCGGTATGGTAGTCGTCCACGACGCATCTTCAATGCCTGTCGAAGGCAGGCATTGATGTTTCACTTCCCCGTCTAGGTATAGAAAGAATGTCTGGCTGAGAGTACCAGAAGCCTTTCCGAGAGCTCTTTGGAGATCTAGACTGTCTAGGTTCAGGAAGGTCGTGAGCAGATCTTCGAGCTTCCGGGTTTCCTCACGGTTAGTCTGTATCCAATCTTGATAGATCTCCTTCAGAAGGACAGACAGGAACGAGCGGGTCTTATCACTTAGTTTCGAAATGGCAAGAATTTTGCGGAGCCACTGCAAGCTATGTGCCACTGGGTGAGGCTCGTATAATCGGCTAGGAGTAGGATTGGGCAGTACTAGATTATAGATCTGGTCGCGTTAACATTAGGTCGACAATCAACCAGACAGGAGGCTGGAGTGATAATAGTTCTCTTACCAAGACAACAAAGAGCAGGTCGTTGATCTCCAGCGCCTTGCGCACCAGATTCAGCACTTCGTCGTCAATTTTCTGCAAAACTCCTGGTCCGTTATCATGTCGAAATTCTCCAAGTTTTGAGATGTTAGGATTAGTTGACAGAGCTGACATGATGTAGAAAAGGGCCAACCCGATCTCCGACGGTATCAAAGTCATCATTTGCAACCTTTTAAGAGTCTTATCCGGAATTCGAATCTTGTGTCATGTGTACCAGAATGGGGTACGCTCCATGTCAGAATGCGGAGTCATGAGCTGTAATTTTCGACCTCTCTGATTTGAGCCGTCCGTGAGCATTCAGACGATTAAGATCACCAACTACAATGGAATCATGTATCGATCCGACGTGGTCAATGATCATCGATTCTGATGATTGTTCTCCAATGCGAATCACAAGACTGGTCTATAGGCCAGTGCAGCGAGAGGATTTGCTACAATTGGTGGACAACATATTTCACACCCTCTAAAAATCACCCTCGAACAACTACTCTCTGACAAAAAGGTTTTGCGTCAAACGAAGGATGGTCAATTTGAGAAGGTGGTACATGCCGGTCGGATGCAGAGAATGCGGTGATGTCATCGACTTATCGATCGACGCACTGCATGTTTGCTGTGTTTGCTCAAGCATGGGGTCTTCAAAGGCAAACAGCACAAGCGGAAAGCCCTGGCCCCAGCCCTCTCTCAGGGGTGGCTGGATGATGGAAACAAGTTGCCCTTGGCATTTCAAGACCGTTTGGGGGAACAGCACCCTTTAGGATGGTTTTGCACGACCAGAGGTTTCATGATGATCCGCTATGTCACCCGATCCGAGAGTCATTTCGACTTGCTCCATGGCTATCGTATCCGCGTTAAGCACTACGGCATATCGGTTAGGTTAATAGCGAATATCAAGCTAGCTCAGTGTAACAAAAAATCTATTACGCGTTCTTTACACATCTCATCGTGTTACAAATGCTTTTTGCCAAATAAATTGCTTCGACTAGAGCGAGAAAGAAGATACCACGTACATTGTGCGCTTCAAAAGTCACCCGCACGAGGTATCTGGATAGATAGCGTTGGTGTCCATATTACGCGATGCGCATGTCTAATTAATGGCTCCTCGGATCACTGTACTACGTGGTCAAAGCAAAGACAATGCGTGGTCATGCCGTGATCAGTCCTCTTTGTGTCCAGGCACTGCTTCCAGACCCGCGGAACAGAAAGTCGTGTTGAATGAGAAGATAGACCATTGGTCAGAAAGCTGATCTGATTATCCCATGATATGGTCTGTGCAAAAGGCTCAAGAGGGGTTCGGTACCTGACTGCCGGGCCATGTGGACCACGGAAGGATTGGCCTCAAACAATAGTTCTCATACGCTACGATAGCGACTCCGAGCCCTTGGTAGAGCTGCTGGTTAACATGCAGATTGATTCCTCCTGCATTCGATATCCTATAGCTTCCTTGTTTCGTAGCTTGGCTCGTATGCAAGAATGTCTCAAGCGCTGTCAACGACTATCGGGTGGTTCGCCTGTCACGAGCTGTTGAACCAATGCAACAATCTAGGCTAAAGGCAAGCCACATCGTTGAGCTCGAATCTGAGGCTCGGTTGACAACTGAGTTCCGGTCGTTCAGTGGTAAAACCTCTGTTCCTCCTTGTTATGTGACTGATTTGCTGAGAGTCTGAGGACCTTGACAAGCATTCCCATAACCTCTTTGCGGCTTCGCGTGCGACCACCACTCCATTCATCTAACCATGGGTACCACCGAGATGGACAACAACGTTCAGTCTTTCCGTGGCGGAGAGACTGACGACGGTGCCGACCCTGCTCTGGTTCGCAAGATTGACTGGAGGATCATTCCCACCCTCTTGCTTGCATACTTCCTGCAATTTTTGGACAAGGTGGCTGTCAATGTGAGATGCGATCTGCTAGTGGTAGCACACGTCCGAGCTAACCAGTTGTCAATGTAGTACGCGAACGTCATGGGTCTGCAAAAAGATCTCAACATGCAGGGTCAGGACTTTTCGTGGACAGCAACAGCGTTCTTCATCGGCTACATTGTCGCAGAATGGCCTCAAGGTAAGCACGAGATCTCTATATAAACTGCCAAAGGTTGATGTAAGCTATGCAGGAATACTTCTCCATCGCTTCTCTGTGTCAAAAGTCCTGGGATGCAACATATTTATATGGGGTATTATCCTTTGCTGTTCAGCCGCATGTCACAACACAGCTTCAATTATAGCTGTCCGTACCCTGTTGGGCATGTGCGAGGCTGTCATTGCTCCGGCTCTGATTGTGATCACCTCGCAGTGGTATGTCAAGGCCGAGGCACCGCTCCGGTATGGCATCTGGTATTGTGGTTTGGGAGCGGGCCAGATTGTTGGGGGTCTCATCAGTTTCGGAGCACAGCATAGCTCCTCAACGTTTGCAAGCTGGCGGGTGATGTTCGTCTGCGTTGGGATAGTCAACATCCTCGTGGCGTTACTAATTCTCCTTACTCTCCCTGGTATGTCCTCGCGAGCTGTTGAACCCCAATCATCTTGCTTACCGGCCTAGATGGTCCTCAAAAAGCGAGTTTCTTGAGCCAAGAGGAGAAAGAAAGCATTAAAAAGCGACTCGAGATGGACAGTGCGGGAAACGAGCCAACGAAGTTTTGTCTTCACTCTTTCAGAGAATTGCTTCTAGATCCACAAACATGGCTTCTGGTCTTGCTGACACTTTGCATAACGATCCCGAGCGGTGTAATCACTACCTTCTCGGCTGTCTTGATCCACAGCTTTGGGTTTGACTCAAGGCAAAGTGCACTTCTCAACATGCCATCTGGGGCTGTGAGCATCTTTGCAACGATGTTATCAACTTGGGCAATTGTGAAGCAGGCACCCAGGTGGCTGTCCATCGTAGGTCTCTTGATACCTGCTCTGATTGGTGGTGCTCTGCTTTCTTTTGAGGGCATCGATCGTTCAGCTGGGTCTCTCGCTGGTATCTATTTGGTCAACTTTGTGAGTCTGCAGCTATTGATGGTAATGTGGTGAGTGAAGACTGACTGAAAATAGATTGTGGCTCCGTTGGCTATCATATATAACTGGGTTGGCGCTAATTACAACGGCCACACGCAGAAAGTGACCGCAAGTGCGGTGATTTCT